CGCCCCCCCCCCTCCCCCCTGGATCCGCCTATGGTGATGTCTGTAATGAGACGATGGAATATTTTTGGGTTCGCATAACTCCCCTGGTAAAAATTGGCGATAAGAGCTGCGTTTCAAAATACCACAGGAATTCTTATAGCCGGCTAAAGAAGGCTGCAGAAAATCATATAGCTGGCTGTAGAATGCGGAGAAAATCATACGGCCGGGTTGTACGAAGCGATAAAAATTATGCAGCCGGGCTGTAGTTCCTATAGCCGGGCTTTACACTTTATCGCCTGGCTGTTGCTTTTTCGCCATCGACTATAAAAGGCTATAAGAAATCACACGTTATACTTTCCTTTAATACATATTTTTTTTCATCAATTAAAACGAGAATAATCCATACAGGATGTGCAAACATTTCAAAATCATGAGTTGAATAACGCTGACTCCGCCAGATTAAATATTAGAGCCGAACACAAAGCGGAGCGGCGACGCACTGGCGCCTACAAACCTAACAGGGATACATCACGCATTGCGCAACGCGTGAAGTATCCCTGTTAGGTTTGTAGGCGCCGAAGCGCGTGGCACGGCGCTTGAAGCAACTATTTCACACCAGAGGTATTGCACAGTATCATACGAAAATGAAGGCGCTCAAATATATTAGGGATGGCAGGCATCCATCAAAAGTACAGAGCTTTCCTCGCAAAATAAATCAAGATACTACGGCCCAAAAAGAGAGCAGTAGTCCAAAAACTCACCAAGTCCTAGCATCCGTAATTAGTGACGTTCAGCATACACTTTATCGCCTGACTGTGAGTTGCTTAATTCGGCATAAAAGGCTATAAGAAATTGTGAAGCCGGCTTTAGAAGCTATTGGAAATCTTACAGCCGGCCGTAGGTCTATGGTATTTTGGAACACAGATTCTACTGCCAATTTTTACTAGGGTCTAAGATAAAATTAGAGTCGTTAAATTCCAAAAAATTTAACCAGAAGCTCAAAAATGAACACAAATATAGGACCTCCAGGTCATTAAAATTAAAATTTTTAGGAGAACTTTTTCTATGAAAAATACATCAATTTTCTACAACAGCTAATCTCTTGTTTTTAAAAATTTAATATTGGTTCATTTCAGGTATACTCGATGCAATTGAACGCATTTAAATCAAAAGCAACTATATTCATTCTGACATGAGTCCTGAGATCCATAAGAATGTGTGCATTACAAGGCTTATGCCGCAATGGATATAGTTCCCTTTGATTTGAATGCGTCTAAATAAAAGGATTTTCTATTTTGAAGCAGTATATTAAATTTTACGTACTTTAAAGAGCTACCAATGGAAGTTCCTGGCTTCTTTTTTGGCTGGTGATATCAAGCTCTAACTATGAAGGTTATTTTGGCCCGTCAATGAGCATTCTTTCATTTCAAATGACTTGAGAGTCCCTTGAATGCGCCTCGAGGCCGAATAGTAGGGTTTTCTCGCAATATTTCACTGTTTTAATGAACGTTTCCTCATTCTAACGCACAATTTACGTTCTTTTGCCATCTGACTGCGGCTTACGGCTGAAGCATCTCTTCAACGACGCCAAATCGGCATGTGTCTCCGTTCTCGCTGTGCAGTATGTATTGAGCTTATATGACTTGGAGTTTTCCCCCCTTTTTCTTTCATTTTTAGGTTTTTGTTATGAGCCTACAATTATTTCCTGATAAAATTCACCAATGAAAAAAAATACCATAAAAGAGTATTAAACCTACGTTCGCAAATTGTGGGTAAAATATTGAAAGGGCCTTTCAAAAAGTAATTAAGTACATGTCAGTAAAATCAATTTATGTACAATATATTATCACAATTAACTATCACATAAATTCCTCAATTAATCAAACCATTAATTGCCTTAAAACAAATCATTTTAACAAAAATAAAAAGTGAAGTATTAAAATAAATAAAGATATCAATCAATCAATCAATCAATGAAATGCATGGATGTAGGTTTTATCTCTTGTCGGTTGGTGGTAAGAAAACTGATCGAGAATAGTAATTGCAAATTTAATATGTAATGATACTTTATTAAATTTCAATTTTTTAAAAAATCAATTGCGCCTCTTCATAGTTTTTTAAAAATTACTTTTAAGAAACAGCTGGCACTACAGTGGAGCTAGACTGGAAGCTGCCATAATATTCCTCCATGGAAATTTTCAAGTCAGAAGTAACACCTAAGAATCTCCTTGACTTTACAAATGTTTCTTCGTCGCAACTACTATTTCTCTCAGTGAAGAGTCTCAAGAATCGTCAAGGAAAAGTCTCAATGCCACCATGAAGACTATTTCTTAAGTGAATTTTGAACACTTGCCACCACGATTGAATGTCCATTATGAAGTCTTATTTTTCGTCTAGCTTACTTTGGAACAATTGAACATATTCAAAGTTTCATATCCCAGTTTATATTGTCAGATGAAGCAATTTTAATCACGCATCCTGATTTCGTCGCTCTTCCGGCGTAAGAGCGTATCTGAATCTCTGCAAGAGCTTAGAAAGCATAGATTTATATGCAAAATAGGCCTGTTGAAGGCCTGAAGGAAATTGAGACACGCTCTTACGTCGCGCCGCGGCGCGTAACGCGCAATGGCGCCTACAAACCTAAGGGGATACTTCACGCACTGCGCGATGCTTGAAGTATCCCCTTAGGTTTGTAGGCGCAACTACAGGTTTCGCGCTGGCCGACCGCCCGCCGCGTTGTCACCTTCCGGTCAAAGTATCACAAGCGCCATGTGACGTTTAAAATTTTCCGCCGCAATTTAATTTTTTACAGAGAAATCGTCCACCGAAGCTGTCCGAAAATTCCACTGATTTTTTTTTGTGCTACCGATAAAATTCGGTGAAAATTTCAAACAGCTTCAACCAATAATTTCTCCGTAAAAAAATAAAAAGCCGGTGGAAATTTTGAATCGTCGCATGGCGCTTTTGATACTTCGGCCTGAAGATGACGACGTCAGAAGAGCGACAATTTGCCGTGGCAATATTTTCGGGTCCTCGGTGACTACAGCACTTGCATACTTGCCTCTTTCTCTCCCAATCCCCTACAAAAAAATTCTCACTTTAACGGCTCATCCATGCAAGTCCCTTTTTCGAGGGCCTTCTTGTATCCAGTGTAGTCTTCCTCAGCCGCTCTCATGGCTTCCTTATGAATTTTGAGTTCAGTTTTTCAAAAATATGTCCTTTTCCATTTTTTGTCCAAAATTCAGTGATTTTTGCATGGAATAGGAGAAAAAACAGTGAATTTTCTAGTCAGGAATGCTCAAGATTCTCCCGGTAAAAATAAAATTTGCTCAGGGAAATTTTTCAGTAAAGCTTTTTAGTATAGGTTTGACGTTTCAAACGGCAAATTGTGTCTGAAAACTATTTTTGATTATGTCTTTTTAACCATCTGGCATATCTTCAATTGTCAGGGAATTTCACCCAAACGTGTCAGGAAAATCAGAAAATGTCAGGGGATTTCATTTTCTAAATTGTGTGGCAACCCTGACAGTTCAATTTTTCAAAAAGATCCCCCTTTTCATTTTTTGTTCAAAACTCAGTGATTTTTGCTTGGAATCGGAGAAAAACGCTGAATTTTCTAGCTAGGAATGCTCAAGATTCTCCTGGGAAAAATGAAATTTGCTCAGGGAAATTTGGCAACATTGAAATGTAGTTGCGTTCCTTCGTGAAGGGAGCGACGAGTTTTCTCCGTTCTCCGAGTTTTCCTTTTCGAGTCGGGCACTTTTCAAAACGATCCATTCGAATTCAGTCGTCGCACAATGGCTCGAATCAATAGGAATGGTCGGACAAAATTTGGAAACTTCAAACACTTATAACTCCGTTTATACAGAATGGAGATGTTGCATGTGTGAGGGATTTGCGATTTGACCATTGATTCTTATGTAAAAGTTCGCGAGAAACACGATGGTGCCACTGGTTTTCTCTGAAATCATCTCCCAAGCTCTAAAAAAGCTCTTAAAGTGAGGCCAAAATGGAGGGGATATCCCACGCTACCCTGAGAGTCCACATCTACATCAAGACAAATTCTCCATGCAAAGATAGGGAGCAAATACATTGACAGGGTTGCCGTGTTTTCAGTTTTAGAGTCCCCAATTAAAGTGGCAGACCTGTCAATGTATTTGTTCCCTATCTTTGCATGGAGAGTTTGTCTTGATGTAGAGGTGGACTCTCAGGATAGCGCGGGATATCCCCTCCATTTTGGCCTCAACTCTAGAGCTTTTTTTAAGTTCGGGAGATGCTTTAAGAGAACACCGGTGGCACCATCGTATTTCTCGCGAACTTTTACATGAGAATCAACAGTCAAATCACAAATTCCTCACACATGCAACATCTCCATATCCGTTTTGAAGCACACCTTAAAAGTTAATTTTTTTTTTTAAAAGGTTTTATTTATTTGCAAAATATATACATAGTTTACAAATAAGAAGGGGGATTCGCCTTGGGCATTTCTCCCTCCAAATACTACATTGATTCCATTTTAAATTAAAACAACAATAACTTAAAATACTACAAATAAATGAAAGAAATAACATGTCACTACTAAAATTATTTTAAAGGTAGCTGCTACAGTTGGTTTGAAAAAACCCCCTTTAGCATTCCTAACAGGAGGAAAAATCTGTTACTACCTAGGATTCAGGTTTGATAGTTTAACACTTTTCGGTATTTTACTTTAGTTTTCTTATTTAAGAGTTGCTATTTTCTCCTTTAAAAGGTTTCTGTTTCTCTTTTAAGAGAATTATAGTTCTAACTAAGGTAGCTTTACCATGCCTCATTTTCTACGATTTATACTTTATGGATACTATTTGATAAGTTTAAGTTTACGAAGTTAATTCTGCTTACTAAGATTAAAAGTTAATCTGCAGTTTTAGTCAAAAATTTTATGTCCGAGGTCTGGGAGGTCTTCCTTGAGCTCGGTCCACTTGGTCATCGTCGGGGCACAACAAATTGAGGCAGCAGCAGAAGCAACTCGCGAAAAGTACCTTGGCTGCTTTCTTGCATCTTCGCCGACACTTTCCGCGCTTCTCCTCCTTCGGGGGTTTTGGAGATCGAGGCGCGGATCGCCAATTTTTGAACCAGCTCATGCCCCAACGACCCGATCTAGTTGTCAGCTCTTTATCGGAGGTCGAGTTAGCGTCGGGTTCGGTCGAGTCCGCCGTTAGGATGAGAATCGGTCTTGCGACGGAAGTCTAGCAGCGGAAAAGCAAAAAACGCCATTTAATAGACCACTAGACAAGGTACGAATTTCAGCTTTCTGATACATGTTTCTTCACCAAAATTTCACGTAAAACACGATGCTCACGACGAAAATTACCGAAATCAACTCCTTACAAAGATAAATAATGATTCTTGATGCGTGAACTCAAACCGCCCGCTCATGAAAACTCAATGCTCTGCGTGATTCACATCGCGCGCTTAACGTTATCGTGAAAGTCTCTGCGATAAAAAAATCTGACAACCTCAATCTTGACGCTTTGGTTGAGCTGTAGCAAATTACTGATAGTTTGAAAAACACATGGTGGGAGATGAACATCGCTCGATTGAGAAGCTTGCTGAAATCGTTATAGTGCGCGATTTGACTCACGCAGAGCTTTGAGTTTCTTGTGAGCGGGCAGTTCAAATCCCTCGTAACCAATGTGAAATAAAAATGTTAATATCTCCGTCAGGAGTTGGTTTCAGTAATTTTCGTTGCGCGAATCGTATTCTACGTGAAATCCTGGTTAAGAAACATGTATCAGAATGCTTGAATTCGTACCTTGTCTAGTGGTCCATTCATGAAATGGACCACTAGACAAGGTACGAATTCAAGCATTCTCATACATGTTTCTCAACCAAAATTTTACGTAGGACACGATTTGCGCAACGAAAATGACTGAAATTAACTCCTAACCAATATATTTAATGTTTCCTGGCGCGTGAATTCAAACCTCCCGCTCATGAAAACTCAATGGTCTACGTGAGTCCAAGCGCACACTAAAAATTATCATGACACTCTCTGCGATGTAAAAATCTAGCAACCTCAATCTTAACGCTTTATCTCAGCTGTAGCAAGTTGTTCATAGTTTGAACAACACAGGGTGGGAAATCAACAGTGCTGGATTGAGAAGCCTGCCGAAACCGTTGTAGTACGAGATTGGACTCACGCAGAGTATTGAGTTTCGTGTGATCGCCGGACAATTCAAATTGCCCGTAACTAATGTAAAATAAAAACGTTAATATCTTGGATAGGAAATGATTTCGGTAATTTTTGATGCAAGAATCGTGTTTTACGTGAAATCCTGCTTAAGAAACGTGTATCAGAATCCTTAAATTCGTACCTTGGCTAGTGGTTCATTGTGTGCATATATTAATAGTACCCAAGTAATAATTTATGATTAAAGTCATAAATGAACATATTTCTGCTAAACGAAACCCGAGACAGAAGGGGAGCATCGTGTGTATAGTTTTTACAAGTGTCTCTCTGTAAATGTTTGCTAGACTTTAGTTAATTAAGTAATAGGTCCGTTGCAAACTTTTGCCACAGCAAAAATAAGAGTTGTTACCTATAGAAAGTATATCTAAAAAATCACGATATGCGCATTTGCAAAGTCTCAAATGCACTCCTTACTTCTATTTCTAAATCTCTCTAATTGACTCGATCTACTGTGGGCCGTAAGAATGAATAGGAATTATAAAGCGCCAGTGACGTCAGCGGCAACGACGAGCAGGTTTCCAGATTTTAAATGTTGAGCCCTGTCCACCCTCTCTCGTCGCATGCCCGTGGCTCATGAGTTAGTATGGAGTTGGCGCTTAGTTCCTTTTGATCAAATGTCAAATCCCGCTTTTACTTTGTTTCTCATGCAGCTC